GCGAAGGATTCGTCTTCAGAATCCTTCGCTGCATCTGCTGCCGATTTAGAGCAATTGGAAAGAGACTGCAGTGAAGACAACGAAAGCGTCAAGTCCTTGGATGGGGATCATGACTCCACAAAATCTACGAATGAAGAGAGCGCAGATAGTAACAACGAGAATAACGACGAAGAATTGGAGAAAGTGAAGCCGAAGGTTAAACTTAATTTTGGTAAATCACTGAAGGCTACGAATATCGAACGTTTCGATCAAGTGCTTAAACGTAAACCTCATACAGGTGGTATAAAAAAAAATGGAAAGAAACCTAAAAAAGCAACGCTTGCAATAGCGGACAAAAATTCACAGCAAAAGATCGATGCTATTAAAAAACTCGCTAAACCTTTATCACAAATTAAAACCAAAAACGTAAAAAACAACCGCAAACAGTTGAAAGTTATCAAATAATATGCAGTTTATATGGTTACCTTTGTTTTCCTATTTTTATAAGTTTATTATACCTATTTAGTGCCTGTGCGTGCACATATCATCCATTAATTGAATAAACTTTTAAGCTTTGAATGCTAGCGAAGCAGAACGTTATTAAAAGGAAGTAATGCGAAAGTTGGGTGGCGTCTTTAATATTTAATGCAAAAGTTACTAAATTTACTTCTTAACAAGCCAAACTTTACTTTATGATAGATGCGTTGTCAGCTTTCGTTGTACTATAGGCGTCTCCTTTGACCGGATGGGCTATTTTAAAAGCGAACTTGCGCCCAAGAGCTTCCACTGTTTCCGCCAAACTTGAAGTCGATAGTTGTTTTTTTGCGGCCAGGAGAATATTTAACACAGTCATAAGCACGCGGGCGGACGAACATGCTTAAATCGATTTAGAGTTTAATACTGGTTAAAAATATATATATATATATATACTTTGTACGGTCCCCTTGGCGTTACAATGACTTTATATCTTCAATTATTATTATTATTTTTTTTTTTTTTGTAATTTTTAATTATCGCTGGATATATTAAAAACATTTGTAAAAATTCTAGAAGTTGATGTAATTGTAATAAGTAATAGAAAGAAAGAAGGATGGTTTGTAGCGTCCGGAATCAATTCGTAAAGATTCTAAAAAAATGCTTCATTCTTGATTAATGTAAGATGCTGTGATTTAACTGGACTCATATGTCCACACACCAGTGTCAAGTTCTTGAAATTCTCGAAGCTTTAACCCGATAACCCCTAATAACATTGTGCTCAAAGCATGCGCAAGACATGAATGAATCTGTGTTTTTCGTTGGTATGGTATTAAGATGGAATCTGAAAATGATTGAAATTAAATCAAAGTTTCGAAAGGTTTCTTCATTAAGACTTTAGAGAATAAGCGTATACAATTCTCATTCATTTTGCATGTATTGTACGACTTTAGAAAATAAGCGTATATTCGTACTCAATCGTTCAACAGCTCCTTGTAAAAAAGGCATCGATGCGAGATTCGATTAAGGTTGTATGTGCATTTTCACAGAGATGTATCAACACAACATTATATAGTTTTGATTAGTTTTTAGTTTTAGAGGTTTGACATCCTTAGACAATCTTTCAGTATATTTAACCTGTACAACAATCTTTATGAAATTTTTCGTGCTGGTAACTTTAGGCATTTGAAGCAACTGACTGCCTTTATCAAATCAGCTGAGTTTTCATTCTAATTTTACATTTAGTATTTCTATTACAATCACGAATCGCCTACACTTTTTCTTTTATCGGCATTACTAGCCGGACCTTGACAGTACAGTACCAAGTACGGTGATTTATGGATTGACAGCGGAACAGAGCCTCTCATTGCGAACACTCTGCCACATCAGTCTACCTATGCTTAAATGTTTTCATCAATCGCTCTCAACTTCGTTTCTGGATTATGGATCTAACATTAACTTAACTGGTCCAATCCATCTCTAAACAAACAAAAAAAAAAAAAGTTTTTAGTTTTCTACTCTGTCTCGCACGAGTTCTTATGCAGTGAGGATGTGCTGACGGAATTTTTTCGCAAATATAGCAATGCATTGAATAAAGGTGTGTGTGCATTTGGTCCGTTATTATAAGTTGTGCGTTTAACACAGCTGATTGGCGTTAACATTTAAGTTGTTATAAATTCTCCCCTACTATTGTTCTTCTCTCTCCCCTTCTGCAGCAACGGACTAAGTGCAAATGAACTAATGACTTGTAACGCTTGGCGTCTGGGCGTTACAAACGTTTTGACAAAATGAATACACCCCTCGCCCTTCATCTAAGATCCTTCCTAAAGTAATTGAAGGTTTTTGGAGATCTCCTTCTTAATAACTCTAATCTACCGATAACCCTGCCTGATCACCATTGCGCGCGCACATATAGGGGACATCAACTCTGTGGCTGGTTGTTTTGCATGTATTGTGCCCCTTTATAAAATAAACGCATATTCGTTCTCATTTGTTTTGCATGTATTGTGCCCCTTTATAAAATAAACGCATATTCGTTCTCATTTGTTTTGCATGTATTGTGCCGCTTTTTTTAAGGCATTGCTATGCCGCCATTTAATTCAGTTATTGAAGCATTTTTATAAAAGTTTTCACAATCGTCTTCAAGTTCTTTTCTTCCGATTTCTTTTGTTCTTCCCTTCACGGCAAGATGGATTCATACCGCTTGGTGCCGTCTTATGTCTCTAGAGCGTCCCACGACACATCGTCTTTGAAAATATGTGCAGCTTATGCCTTACCCAACTTAATACTATCGTTAATTTTCTTTTCATCCAATCTTCAACAACGTGGCAAATATATCAGTTTGCCTAAGAGATCCGTTCTTCGGTGATGGATATAACACTACTTGTTTCCTACTGAAAGTAACATTCGGACGCGGGCTAATCTACCACGCGTTTGGCCACGTAAGATTTTAATGTCCAAAAAATCGGTTTTTTCTAAACGCCGCAAGACTTTGTGGTAAATGACCACCGAAATTAAATTATAACTAACATTGCATTCTACCCCCAACTCCTTTCATTTCATACCTATACCGAAGGTGTTTTTAAGAGATTCATCCACTAAGTCGCGACGTCTGTTACAATTAATTTACAATTAACACACTTAACTTTTCGTATTCTACTGCCCAAGTTCTTGTATTCGATACCCATATCGCTGGGTAACAAATCCACCATGTCGCGGCGCCTACCTACCATATTCATTTTAGAATTAACCCATTTTTAGGCAGATAATATATCTTCATATGAGGAATGTAAAAAATAGTTTTAAGTATTCTGATTTGTTTCCCTTAGGATAAATAAGCACAAAACCTCAATCACACAATTATATTTATATAAAGAAAACTTACACGTGATGCGGTTTTATTGAACGTTTCGTTTAGTGGAAAAACAGAACAAAAAGAAGGAAAGAACATCTCTTCTTTGTTTAATAAAATCGGTAAAACAGATAACTAACGTATGATTTATGCGTACTTATCAGTTAGTTGTATGTGTTAAATTAAATTGAAAATCTGTTGTTTCCAATTACTTAGCATAAGAGCACTCTACTAGTAATCAATGGTGAGCCCATACGATTGCCCTCACACATGACCACCGTGAGATTTTAAGGCGTTTAGATGAAAACTGAATTTGATTTCGTGCCGATTAAGAATTTCACTTAGGTTAACTTAGGCCGGCAAAAGCATACGACCGCATCTTTTATACCGCCCCCCATTTATCTTTAAAAAAAATCGAAAAAAAACTGAATGTTATTCTTTAATATTGGCTGGACGTGGTTGATTCTTTCATTCGCGTACATAAATCGTTCATCTGAATCATTCATAGCATATTCCCGGAAATTTATCTTACTATACGTATCTATTGTAGCTTACGGCAGATAATAAGACAGAAGCTTGCTTTTGAAAATAAAGGGCTTGTCTGTTTACTTTGTCCTCTAGCTACTTCCATGAATCAAAGGCCCATTTTTAATATCAATAAGGCTGCAACCATAAGTGTGCTTACTTAAGGACAAACGTGTCAACAAACAGTGGAGTGAACAGACGTATATGCTTAGTTATATATAGATATGTATACATTACTTTGTTTAAAAGCCGGTGCGACGAATCAAAACACGTCATTGCACCAAACTTCATCAAAATATCTATCCTTAGTGGATTCCCGGCCTTATGCGCGAACAACAATAACCAATTTTGACAATCTGACAAGCTCGCAAAAATTTACGTCTTGTCATGAATTGTTGTCACAGTCTGCTGCTGAGTTATCGACAAGTGGATATGAATGTCATATCTCTGATGAAGAGTTAACCGAATGTTGCAATAAAGCGGAAGATACGATGAAATATACCATAAAAAACATAGACGCTCCAGAAGAAAGAGAAACAATTGTGGATATAGTATTTGAGGATTCTCCAGAAGGAGGAGATGACAAAAAAAAAACAATTGTGGATATAATATTTGAGGACTTTTCTACATCGCCTTTTAACAGTCCTGTAGTATCACCCGACAGTAAGTTAAAGAATTTGGAACGGTCCCATTTATATTTAGCTTTATAATAGCTTTATTATATACTTAAAATAGCTTCATTAATATGTATAAAAATATATATATATAAAAGAAATTGTTAATCTTTTTAATGATTTTAATGGTTTCCTGATTGTTTCCGATTCTTCTTCCTTGAGTTGATCGCTCTTCTCTCATCTCCTCTAGATGTATGTATAGTGTTGTGGAAAATACGCCAACTAAACTTATTTAGCATTCAGGTAAACCACTTCTCTAAGCACTTTCAATATTTTCGACAAAATAAAATCCACGCTACAAAATTTGGTATTCCTTTAGATACAAGCTAGTAAACAAAATATAGATTGTAACGTAAACTGCCTTTCGATTCTACAAAGTCTTTTTCAGATTAACCGCTGAATTAAGTTCGTATTAGTTGAATTTGAAAATTCTTTAAGCATCGGCACAGGCTAGCCTAAAATTAGACCGGCATAATTTTTTATTATCAAATTAAACAACGCCCTCGCTAAGTTCCCTGTTGAAAGGCAAAGCACAGAGTCGCTTATAATAAGTAAAAAAATTGCCAAAAATGCTCTGAAATGGTTGAGTGCCCAACTAACAACTTAAATTGCCAGATCGTTTAATTTGCAAAGTCGCCAGCTTTATGACCCAGGAAATCTGTTAAAATTCATTACAAAATGCAAATTGCCGTCGGCTTTGCAAAATGAAAAATGCAAATTGCCGTAGGCATTTATAATGCAAATTACAAATTTAAATTTGTTCCAAATTCTCTGCTAATCGATAAAAAACATCTGTTGAAATCTTGATTATCAAATGGATTCGAGGGTGTTGAGAAAAATTACTCATTTGTTTAAAAAAACTATATTCTATGAAAACGTCTGATCATGTAGTTGAAATTTAGCTTCTGCGTTGGTATTCCACCGTTTTTGCAGCTGAATAAAAAGCGATACCTAACTTTCATCTAACTGATTTTCCCACCACAGTAGATAAATCAGTGTTGCTTTTTTGACATAAAGACTTTAAAAATTTGTGTAACACTCCTGTGTTAACTGATTGCTTTTATTTTATTTATTTGGCGAGTTTTTTGGCAACAATTATTTGCAAGCATATACAACAATCCATCTCCAGAAACACACACGAATGGATTCAAGGAATATAGATAAGTATGAAAATGTCTAATAAAATTTTTCCTTAAGTTGTTTTTGATGTAACAATTATTTGAGATCTTCGGACAAGAAATTTCCAGTATCTTTGGAGTTTTTCAAAAAACACATACAATATGAGGAGTTAGTGGATGCTATTTTAAAAGATGCCAGTAGAGGCGATGATGAGAAATTTAAAGAGTCGTTAACATGTGAAAGAAAGCGCGAGAATTGTATTAAGAATTATTATACATATTTCTACACGAAACCTCGTATACGGGAACGATGGCCTTTTAAACTGAAACCCATGCCAAAGGGTATTAAAGCGAAACTCCTGGAAATACCGGAATACGCAAAAAAACAAAAAAAGAAGGAAAAAAACCATGCAGATCACCGAAATCAAAACAATGAAGATTTGCAATTTCCTAAGCTACTATCAAGTTTCGGCCCCACGGTCGCGGCACCATTGGAGGTTGAAGGTCTTAAACTACCTTCTGACGAAATATGCAAAGATGATGATTTAAATAAGAATATAATTTATCAACCAAATTGTGATCAAGATATTCGAGGTATATTTTCCAGTCCTCATTAGAAAATCTGTTCAATTATTATTATGTTTTACTCTCGAAGTTGAAGAAGAAGAATTTTGGAATCAAAATAGCAATCAAAGGGTACCTCCTGAAAATGTTTATGCGCATAATTCTAGTGAAAATATAAATTCTGCAGAAAATATAATGGAAATTGATAATAGAATGGATACCGACAATAACCTCGGATGCAATGTAGAACCATCGGACAATGGAAGAAAAGAAGCCGTACACATATTGGAAAATCTCATTTTGGTACCAGCCATTCCAAATAGGTAGAGAGAGATATTTTCAAATTTTTTTATTTGTTAAAGTTCGCTTTCCATATATCTTAATAGCGCTTCTTCATTGGCCAATAATATCAAAAAGAAAAATGATTATGAAGAAATGTAAGTAAATATAGGCAGCACAACCATAAGATTGAGGAAAGCATACATAACTTTATTTCAGATTAATTCGGGAGCAAAGCAACCTGGAAATAACAAAAGATAAACAGAATGAGATCACGGCTTCAACGATATATTTCAGTGGCATTTTTAACGACGAATTCTTATTGAATTATATTAGTCGGAAATGCCATGACACGACTAAACAACAACACATTTTAAAATTAATCAAGGAAAAATTTCCCCATCTTACCGATTCAAATATGATTAACCTATCCAAATCTATAGAAATATCGGAAGAAAGTTTCGCTGAATCAAAGAGAAATTCCGCGATAGACGAAGCTAAAATTCTATTATTTTGTAACGTGCATAAGGTAATTCTCTCTCAAACTTTTCTTCACTACTAGTAGTTTTCATACATAAATGAATTTTTTTTCTTTAAATTGTTACTAAAGTATCGTCTCTTTCACTTTCAAATGAATTATTTTAAATTGTGCACTCGCACGTTAATCCTTCATTGTCGGCAGCCTTCAGTGTAATGTCTACACTTAAAAGCGGCGATAATGTATAGAAAACATTAATTATTTAGGATGCGCAGAGCGGAAAAAAGTAGCTAGCTAGCTAGCTAGTAGTAGCTTGATCATATAACATACGATACACAATTTTTTTCATACGAGTTGAAGAAACTTTTATTCACTTATTTGGTTCGACGATGAAGCAACTACTTAAGAGAATTTCATGCCAGTCTTGTCACTAAAATACGTTACGAGCCGCCATAAGCATGGTATTCATCTATCTACATTAAAGCCCATTTGGCCGCACTGTCGTCCTTGTAGCCCTTGTCGTTCGAACATATTCTCAAACTCGCAAACCATGAGCTGAAAAGATTAACGTGGCGGCTGCATTCTTGACTCAGTTCCGCTAATCCAGTTTTTAAAAAAAACTCTTAAAATTCTCGTAAAAATCCTAAAATATATTTATTAATAACTTGCTCTCCATAACTTACTCATTCTCTTTATTACAAAATTTCCTTACTGCTCTTCCATACAGACGCACACTTTATCATATGTTTTGCGCACTCGGCACGGTTTAAAGTACGAAATTGTTGAAAACTTACTTAGCGTTACATTAGAAGAATTTCAAAGTCTGGTACATATCTACGAAGCTGATGAGTTAAAATGCGATTCTAAATTAATGGACAGACTGTATCATTATGTAACCACAAATATGAAAGTGTGGCCTATTAATTTATTTATAAAGCTCGAAGATTTATTCAACTTCTTGAAACACAAACACATTAATTTCCATGCAATTAACCAAAATGTTCTATTGGAACACATTTCTCCAAAATTTTTTCACTGGTCTGACTTACAAAATACAACCAATTTTTTTGATTGCGTTCGTGCGGATTATTTGAGGCGTTATGCTGTGAAATTGGATGTGACTAATGCAGTAGCAATGGAAGCTGCGAGCAAAGATTATTATAATCGATGTTGGAAGTACGACGAGTGGATACATCAAATACCAGTGATAAAACAAGAACTAATAGAGTATCTACAGCTTTCAAAGGAAATGACTGAGTCTGATGTAGGCGATGCTCCATCTAAATATACAGGACTAGCCCAACATTTTTCTGATTTTCTTATAGCACCGAATAATCAACACCAAATTAATATGTCCCCTCATGAGTTAATAATCAGTGAAAGTCTTGTAGATGAATCATCTTTTCAAAGTCAGCAAGATCCTATCAATAACTCTATAGAAGAAAGTGCAGACAGAACTCCTAGTAAGTGTGGCACAATTTTGCTTTAATGTCATTTTAATCGGCTAAATATATTTTATTAGTCAGTTTGGGCGTAATTATACCGGCGACGGAGACTAAAATAAAATCTGAACCTTTTGAAATGTTAAAAAATCTCCAATTTTATATTGACGGGGATGATGATGATCTGATACATTGTACCGTAATGAACAGCGAGCCGATCTTGTTAGATGAGACCGAAATCGATTTAAACTGTAGTCCAGTTGATTTGGAAAATAAAGGACATTCGAGGGTTTTATCACTTACTCCTGCGACGACATGTGAAAGTCTTTCGTTAAGCCAGACTTTACCTTACCTTTCACATAAAAATGAATGCGATGAAATTGCAAATACGCCATCATTTATATTGCCTGATGATCCCCCTTTGGAAATTTCTAGAGGTGGCACAAATGATATTCAAGTAGTCGAAAGTGAATCAGATAACAATCCGGAATATTCGTGCACCCAAAATACTATAGAAGATGATGAGGCAATTACATCACAAATAAGACAAGAGAAACAACGCAAAATAACGGATTTTGTGAATACAAACACACGCCAAGTTCAGCATAAAGTGTTTGTTTCTAACATGCACGATTATATAGAATTACGACATACTGGCGAGCGCCAACCAGCTGTGGCGGACAATTGTACTGCAGAAGGGCACCAGTCAACAGACATCCGGAAACCGTTAGAAACACAGGATGCGCAGGCAGTTTTCCCATCCAGCAAGATGCACATAGCAAGAAAAACAATTGCACATAAAAATCCAATAAAACCGACAATTTTCGTACCCCAATTAAGACATAAATTTCCGTCTTTAGTTACGGTGAGATGTGCAACTAATTTCCAAGCTCCTCCGAACTTGACAGCCATTAGTAAAAATACAACCAGCTGCGACAGAGGTAATGCGATGTTCACGTCAAACACGAGGCAACCACCAAATCAGGTAATAGTTGGTAATAATAATAGCACAAAATCCGGTATCACAAACAGTTCAAATAGTTCCGTATCACTTTCCAGTCGTCTTATGCCAATACAACTCGTGTCGAAAACCATGTTGTATCGCACTTTGTGTCAAATTGATTATTTTCAAAGCATCAGTTCTCGTGACATTGCCCAGTATGAACTGCCAACAATTGTCGTTGACTCCACCTATTTACAAGCCGTCATAACTTGTGATGGAATAAAAATGCGCTTGTGCAACAAATCTTTATCCGCTTTATTTCCGCAATGGACACCTTCTCTCAAACAAGATCTCTTTATCGTTTTGAGAGATCTAACGGAATACCATTACTCTCTGTTCGATTTTTCAAAAGACAAATTTTGTGCAGACATTCGTACACGTGTGCTACATTATTTGTTTAGAACTGCATCGCCATTTTCCCTTGGAAATCTATCCTACGAGTTAAGCAATCCGGAGTTCGGTTATTGTTATCCTATTACAAACAACAACAATAGATCCTACAAACGGAGACCGCATGCTACTCTTACTGAAGCCTTAAAACCGTCTATAGTTGCGAAAATTATCGAGTTTAAAAGGAATTTGTAAATCGGTTTTTAATTGTTATTGATTTATACATGCAACTACGTTTTTCTAACTCGTTATTCGACTGAAATGCGCATCAATAAAAATTAACTGTTCATATAAACAAGGAGACCTTTGAATTAGAACTCGCACGTGTTTGCATGAATTACTTACTTCAACAGCAGTGTGTGTGTTTGCTATAAAATTGTAATTAACGCGTCATATGGTTTGGGTTATTACGCCTCATATATATGGGCGGATAGAAATTTGTGTAAATTTGTGTTTGGCAGGTAGTTCGGAATACGCGATTGACTTTATAAAGACCATTCTATTCCATTAGAATCGCTTCTAAATATGAGCAATAATATCAGGAAGTTTTTTTTCTAACTTCCAGTTCGGAAAACTTTTCGGCACATCCTATATTGCTATGGATCTTAGCCTAAATTTTCTCACATTGTTTGCTTGCAGTATGAAACTATGAGGCGAAGCCTGCTTTCAAACTTCTCGAAATAAAATTTCTCCCAAATATTTCAAAAATCATTGTTCTTCGATATTAAAAATCGGCTGAGTACCACCAAAACGTTTCTAAATATGTCATATAATCTGTTCAACCAGAGAATGGAAAGCTTTACCAAGGTGTAGAATTTTACCATCAGCTGGGGGTACAAATGGGTCATCCGAGTCAATAGTCCTAACGCCGTGTAAAGAATTGCGCGGGGGTTTTGTAATGTTTTAAATCTGGATATAAAGCCTCTTCCAGATCGATCAGTTGACATGTAGACCAAATATAAATGGCTACCCTTTCCGGTATGTAACCCCAACAACCAATCACAGCAGCGACTTATTAAACGTAAGGGTAAGTATTTTGGATTGAAATTGCGTCGCCGTATGTGGTGTCTTCGTTTTTTTATACAATTCCTCTTGTTGTACCATGTAGTCTATGAAATGATATCAATGGTATGTGTGACTTGTTTGTTAGATTTAGTGGATTTCTATTTTTTTTTCAACCTTTATCGGGAAAATAAACATTTTTTAAAAGTAAAAAACGAAAAAATTCTCTTAACTGAAAAATTAAAGGTATATAAGGAAAGCTAAGCTAAACGTAAACCCGGTTTTATATAATATTTGATAGTAATATAGAATGAAGATTAATTCAGCTGATACATCGACTATAAACAGTACATATATGATTCGATTCGACTGATCTTCGGCTGACGCGAAGAGTTTAGTGATCAAAATTTCAGAAGCGACGTAAAGTCCCTCTGTTTTAAAGCTAAAATTAGGCAAAACGGAGAAAGGATATATTGCGAAATTGTCAAGTTCTTTGCAATTAAGAGTGCACGAAATAATTATTATTCAGGAATGAGTAGAGAAATTTATAAATTAGAATGCAGCTACATGAGCACCTCACGATATCAGTCAATCTTCAACGATAATCATGATGCAATCAATGATAAAAAGTCATTTGCGTTTATTTTGTCTAAGCTTGGTAAAGCTTATATACATATTTTTTTTTGGCTAAATATGCTTTATCTAACAGCCAACTGCTTCTTTTCAGCTGCTTCTTTTTCAGCTAAACGTAAAGATTACTCAGCGCGTTCGTATCACTAATACTTGAGAGACTATGCTAATGAAGAACTCGCTAAACCTTTATCACAAATTAAAACCAAAAACGTAAAAAACAACCGCAAACAGTTGAAAGTTATCAAATAATATGCAGTTCACATGGTTACCTTTGCTTACCTATTTTTATAAGTATTTTGCCCCTATTTAGCGCCTGTGCGTGCGCATACCACTCATTAATTGAATAAATTTTGCTTCGAGTGCTAACGGAGCAGAACGTTATTGAGCGCAAGTAATGCAAAAATTGGGCGGCACATTTAATATATAATGCAAAAGTTACTAAATTTACTTCTTATGAAGTCAAACTTCACTTTGGTATTCAAGGTGGTTATGCCTCCTGGTTTGGAAAGAAAAAAAGAGAAGAAGAAAGAAAGAATATGCTTAAGAAGTGGATGTGTTCAGGAAGCATTCGGTGTAGCAAGTGCAAGTAGCAACCGACTGTCTGCCTATTCCGCTGCTGTGAACTTTTTATTGCTTTTAAAATCCAAGTGATGATCTAACATCATGTTTGAAGCATTAATCTACGAAGGCGGCATATGTCTTTCCCAGCAGTGCTGATATGTTTATTTTGTTGCGATCATAAAATTATGTGGTTTTGTTTTAGAGGGCATGAGAAGTTTTTAATATAAAGTTTTTTAAAGAGGCACTGGGCATAGAAATATTCGCTCCGCTCTAGATTGTAAGGTTTGCTATAGTATTTCATTAAATCCTTTATATCCAGCATCGTTATCTTAACAAAGAAGATATAAGACTCCAATACTCTCTAACATTGGGGACGAGTCCAAGTTTCATTTAATACACACTCTACTCTTATCGGCAGAATAAATATCAAAATTTTTATGTTACACCAATACAAATGTGTATTAAATTTTTTGGTGATGTATGCCATAGTCACAAAGATTTGAGATGAAACGTCTATCGATCGATTCAGCATCGTTTTCTGAATACATCTAAGCTAGTCCGTTCATCTTTCTTGTGTTCAACCTACAGGTCATATAAGGGCACTTCGCACCGCGATCTAAAAAGTCTATTGTACTTGTTCGTTCTTCTAGTCCTCCAATTTTAGGGTTCCTGTCGCCCTCCTGCTACCTTCTTCTGTTCGGAGGGTCCGCAGTTACAAAGGCAGTTACACTTGATGATAACTGCTTATGCATGCACATACTATGTGATAGGATATATCACTCGTCGTTTGTCAAAATCTGTATGAAACGGTACCAAAGATACCTAGAGGTTTCAAATGATACCTTAGCATATTATGATTTGCGTAGTAGCCTGCGACCAGACGTAGGTCGCTCCAGTAGCTTAATATAAATTTTTCTGCGCCGGTTGCGATGCCATTCTATTAATATGGTTTCTTGATACCCCACCGAAATGTTCAGGACATGTCATTGTTCCTCTGGCAACTCCTAGCTAGCTAGATAGCCAGCCCTTGCTCTGCCTTCAAGGCTCGAATGGCCAGGCGCCCATATTAGGTGCCCTCCAAACACTAGCTTAGATTTTATCGTTTTCCCTTTCAGGGCCTTTAAGGCAACTCGACTGTCGAAGTGAATGTAATCAGCTCTCTCCTGCATTGTCTTCTTAAACATTCGGATTCACTTTCAGTGATTTGATAGACTTCTGCTCGGAATAGGGAGGGGGGGTACTCCAGCGGTGTGGCCTTTTGAAAATTTGGGCCGCATGCTCCAGCCCCAGTGTTGGCAATTTTTAGTCTTGGACCGTCGATGTAACACTTTCGTGCTTGCATCCTAGGTTCAAAAGTTTACCCAGTATGATCATTACAGGTCACAACTTTTGAGATATTTCGATAAAATTTGGTATACCGATATTTCGGCCCAAGGACGAACGCTATTGAAAGTAGCTCGGTTCGAAACGGTTTCATTGGAAACATTGTGGGGCGCCAGGTAAGACAATCTAGAAGGCACGAAAGTTTGTGCAGACCGAGTCGATCTGTCAAGTCATGGCACGATTTCATCAGTAAAAAAATTTTTTTTTTAACACATCGTACACTAAAGAGGATGCGGTCTTTTGAATATATGTCGAAAACAAAAATTTTCAACATTTAACATTTGCCGTTTACGAACATAGTTCAGTTTACCTACTATAGGTCCCGTTTCCCTTTCCCTTTTTTTAGAATTTTGATTTCACTACAATTCTTAAAATGATCTCCATTTGACGGGCATATATAGTGCATTACTAATATACAAATAAATGAAAGAATGAATGCACACATACAGATGTTCAGGCTAATCACCGGCTATATAAATTCTATAAATAAAGTTAATCGTCATTTTGAGGTGTTAGCATAATATAAAGATGAGTACTCCAAATGCGTTGCAAACCGAATAATTTGAGATTCGTCGCAGGAATGAGTACATCAGCGATAATGATAACAACTTGGATGGTTAAGCGTTTGAAAAGAAGTTGAAATAGGGCGTGAAACGTTTGCACAAAACTCAAATCTGCTTACGATGAAATGAAAATGTTAGGCTTAGTTTAATACCGGAACTCATATGGGCGTTTGTGTGGTTTTATGAATGCAACGCAATAAAAATTGATGCATCTTTTGTTTATGTTTACGGAAGAGAAATGTTCAACAGTTTTTCCTCTTTCTCCTCGTTTCATTTTACTTAACTCGATATTTCGCCATAAGATAAACAAAGAAAAAACAAACACTTCTATAAGAAGAAAAGTTATGATAATTGTCATTGTTATAAGTGCTTGAAATTTATGATCCAAGTGACACATATGTCAATTTCAAAAGATTTTATTGTGTGTGGCCGAGCATTTTTATTTAAATGAATTGTTTTTGTTTGTTTTCTTGCTGCGCATTAGCAGCATTAAACTGTAAAAGTAAACAAAGTACGCACATGTTTTTTTTTTTGTTTAATTGATAAAGCATGTGCGCCAATCAGACATGAGTATCAAGTTAGCAGGCAACCAATCAGAATTGATTTCTTTTCAAAGAATATGAATATTCATAGATGGGCTGATGAACGTTTTTATTTTAGTTTTAGTTCGTTTAGGGGAGACAAAATGTTAACAAATTACGACGAGTACTTTTGGCCGGATAGTCAATCGTTTTCGGTGCAAACAAATTATTCTAATGAAGCCTGTTTAATATCCGACAATCGTTACGAAAATTCACCAAATTTTTATATAAATCAATATAACACAAACTATGTGTCCGTCTCATCATCATCTGCTAACAGTTATAGTGCAAAGCTTAATGAACATCCATTCGATTGGGAAGTTAGTCACCAGGAAAATTTTTCAAATAATAATTGTGAAAATATTAAAAATCATTCAATTTACGGCGGTGATTGGAACTTTGAAAGTCAAGAGAATCAAGAACGATTTTTGGTGGAGAGAAACAATCCAAAATCTGATAAGTATATTAATTCAGGTAAGAGATTGTGATCTAACAGACCTAACAGACTCAGACTTAATAATTTCTCTACTGGTTCCACGAAATATTCTTTGATTCTTTCAGGCGTTTTATAGTAAAGTTTGTGCACATGCAATTAGGTACGGGGAAGCTGGGAGATTTCTTTAGGATTACGCGTTAATTGATAACACTTTTTTGGCCCATCACAAAGAAGTGCGGGTTATCGATTTTAACATCTCATTATCATGATTGTTTCCTCTTCGTCTGCCTGTCTGTCTGTCTGTCCGCACACCTATTGTATCTTATTGGAATAAAGGTTGGAACATGAAGTTGTGCCTCCAAGTATCTATCTGCGCGAATAGGCGGGTAGGTAAGAATCAAGGCTACCATGTCTGTTCGTGCTCGCTTCAAATCTCAATTCGATAGAGTTTATTTCGGCCGCAGATATAGCGAGTGCTCAGCCGGTATCTCTTTCTGCTTTCTTACTCCTTTCCGACCATCAAAGTACTATAGTACACGCATAAGGGACATCCCCTGAATAATTGGTCATATAATAAACAAAACAGAAAATGTTAAGCGGCTACAGGTCAGGCTTGAAAGCAAACGATATGCAATTATAAAAAACAATAACGCATACTATATATAAGTAAAATAACTGAAAAAAGAATAATTCTGAAAATATTTATGCGAATTGTTAGACAAAGTAGAGTGGACTATTTGCAAAAATTGCCTAACAGCTAACGCGTAGCTTCACAATTATTATCCTTTCATCATTCAATGTCCAAGCCATGCTCTATATGGATAAATTAAACTTATCTTAAAAACGATAAAACATAGTCATACTCTATTTTCCTGGCCTAAGAAAAGAAAATGAGAAATTTCTCGCACAATTTGTTGTCTTGATATATAATCCTATATGTATTTTGAAACTAGTAAAAAAACGATGAACAAAATGAAAGTGTAAAATAAAACAAGTGCGAAACAAAAGAAGCTCATTTAAGTATATGTACGCATGTTTCCTTTTTTTTACCTGTTGCAGATATAGAAGCAAAGGATGATATTTCAAATTCATTACCGACGGTAAGTTCCAGTCGCAAGGAACGTACTGCATTTACCAAAGAACAAGTTAAAGTTCTTGAAGAAGAGTTCGCTCATACAAATTACTTGACCAGATTAAGAAGATACGAAATAGCAGTGGCTTTAGATTTGACGGAAAGACAAGTAAGTTAATGAAACTCGAAAGACAAGAATTTTTTTCCAATTGCTCTTTTATTCACTAAATTGTCTTTAGATAAAAGTCTGGTTTCAAAATAGACGCATGAAATGGAAACGTATAAGATTAGAACAGAGTAATAACATGAAAAAAATAAATAAATTTTAAAGAAATTATGAAATTATAATCTATAGTTCACTATTTAACGAACTTTAATGAACTTTAAAGTATTGCCAGAGACTACACTTAAAGCAACTACTTTTTATCGCGCAATAAACCATTCACAATAGCACGATTTTATCATTATTATTTTTTAACTGTGGCAATATCGGTGATTAATTGACGAGAGAAAAAATTGTATAAACTTATCAGAAGAATTGGTTAGACATTCTTTGTTTTCATAAAAATATTAAATAAAAACGCATAAGAATGACTTCGGTACAAGAAAGTTTGTTAATGGATGAATGGTCAACACGTGAGCAACTTTGTTTGGCGTCAATTGTCGCCAACAACGGTGGTGAACAACAAAATTGGATGCTTTCGAGCGGTACCATGAAATTATTGTGTGTAGGAAAAACAAGACCTAATGATTGGTTTTCACCAAAAAATTGTGCTGCTCAATATCGAATGTTGGAAGAAGCTGAGGCGCTAAAGCTTAAAAAGTGTAGCCCCGAGAGCGGTGATTCCGCTGAAAACTCCTCCGTCGGTGATGTTATAAAACGTTTGACAGAAGAGCGAAAGCAGGAGCTAAAGAGTGAAATCAAAAAAGAACAGGAAGTAAGTGCAGTTGAAAAAGCAGAAAGTAATTTGAAATTCGATTATGGAATTTTTGGAATCTTTTAGGAATATGCAAAATTATACGCTGATATTAAGGCTTTGCAATCCGGTAATTTAGATGATGAACAGCTTCTGCAAATGTGGCGTGATATTGAGAAAGAGCAAGAAATGCAACGTGTGGATGAAATGAAACTTGAAAATCAACTACGCGAGCGAGAGGAACGAAAGAAAGAATATCAACGCAACTGGCGAGCAAGCAACGCATTGCACAGTGCTTCCACATCTTCCGATTCTCTCAAATCTTCCACTGACACTACAGCAGTTGATATGGACGTAGAAGAGATTATAGGCACGGGTAAAGTAGTTCTGGCAACTATAACCACAAATGCTCAAATACAAACGGTCACACCAGCTCCTTTGCTTTCATCTTTGTTAAAGACTGCCAACGTCGTGGGCGCAGTAAGCAATGCTAACACTATTTCACCCCGGTCGGCAGCGCCTACCATTACAACTTTGCTTACCAGCGGTTCCATACCGAACACCAATCAGCCGGCCATCATACCTTCCCGTGACGATGCAATCCAGTTGCTGGCACGGCCTTTAAGTGGTCCTCCAGTAGATACAGCCGGTCCTTCGCATAACTTGTTAAGCCCGTCGCAATCTGCTCCTACTTTGTCTATGCTGTTAGAGAAGACCAAGACTTCCGTTACAAGCGAAAGTAAAACTCAAGAATCGGTGAATAGTGCGAAAGTAAATGTTACCAAAAATGAGGAAGAAGCTGACAAAGAACCTATACCAATGGATATTGAAGAAGACGTAGGTACAGTAAAAGTGAAGAAAAACTCTGAATCTTCTGTTATTGAAACGGATGACACAGATGATCCCAATGAAGAACAGCAACTTTTGGAAGTATTCAAAAATATCGGCAACATTGAAGAATTGGTTATAGATGACGAAGAGGTTGACTTTCTAAAAGGTGTAGATGAGGAACCTCCGGCCGATGTTGCGGGCGAAGAGGAGAGTGACTTTGTTAATAAAAATGCTGCAGAAAAGACTCAAACTGTTGTTGCAACTAGTTCAGCATCGGAAACTGAAAAATCTGCAAAAGAAGTCGATTCAAAGCTCTTAACTGGAAAATCGGAAGCTATGCCTAAATCTGAAACCATATCCAGTGATGATTCAAATGACAATCTTCCATTGTCTGCTGTGGCCTCTTTAGAATCATCAAAGGAACGTAACGCAAATGCGGATAGTAATTCTAATGAAAGCGACTTTTTAAAAGAACTGGAAGATACTTCCAATGTTAAAAATGAAACTATTCAAGTCGACTCAAATAGTGAGCCTGCTATTTCAGATATAAACAAAAGCGAACCGTTCGATAATGAGCAAGAAACGTCAAATGATACGAAGACTTTCGACTCGTTGGCGTTAGATAAAACAAAACAAGAGGAGAAAGAAGATGGAGAATTAACTAAAGAAGAAGAAGAAGAAGAGGAAGAGGAGGAAGTTTTGCAATTTTCTACTCCTGTTAAGGACACAAGTGTGTCAAAGGATTCGATTAAAAGTGACCTTTTGGATACAAAAATTGGTGCCGAAACAATAGAAAAGGCCAAGGACGAGGAGCTAGAAGTGACCGAGGAAGATGTTGTGGAAGAAGGAAGCGACGTGCACAGTAAGTTAATCCTTTAACGTAGGCTTTACAGTAATAAACGTATATATGTGTTCCTGTATAAATTTCCTCGTTTTATCAGATACATCTGACAACAAACCGTCGGAGGAAAGTCAAATTGAGGACTCTTCAAACCAACAGGAGTCGGAAGATGTACAAACGGACAATAATGAGTCCTTAATAAGCACGAAAATGCAAGCGCCTGCTTGTGTAAGTGTGGCAGACACGGATGACGACTCATCTACCTCTACATTAGGTCATAAATTGCCGCAACGTAAGTCCCCGAATGAAACTAAAACTGATGACGAAATGCCTAACCTACCAATGCCAATGGTTACTCCCGTAGCCACTGCAACAGCTCGTTCCTCTACTTTACGTAAGCTAAGAGACAGAGATAGATCCGAGAGTCCTATGATTGATGAAGACGCTACAATTATTAACGATCATTCTACAAATCAAAGATTAAGGCGACGTTATTCCTCCACACCCGTTATCGACAGTATACCTAACTCGCCCGCTTCTAGTGATCGAGATGAGCGTGATTTAAGAACTTCTAAAAAAACACTCCTCAGTATTTATAACGTTCTCTATAACAGCAAGTATTCGTCAGTAATTCAACGAGTTTTGAAACAGGAAAGTTTCCAATATAAATCGGAAATTTGCTTACGACCTATGGATTTTCAAACAATTAAAAAGAATATCGAATCCGGTTTAGTGCGCAATGTTTATGAATTACAACGCGACATTTTGTTAATGTGTCAAAATGCTTTAATGATTACCAACAGTAGGTCAAATAATTCCAATTTGATTTTAGCCTTTCAACAAGAGTGTCAGTCAGTGCGTGAGTTTATGCCCAATCATTGTGAAACTGTAAACAAATCTGAAAGAGAGTCTAAAGATAGCAAATCTAGTAGCTCTTCTATGCAGGGCAATGTTTCAAGGGGACGTAGTGGGTCGCGAAAAAGTTTACGTATATCATAAATTCGTTTAAAAAAATTGAAACCACAAATTTCTGTCAATAAGTAGCGGCATTTAGAACACACTTTAATAGAATGATTCCGAAAAATATGAATATATGAAGCCGTCAAACAGGTAAGGAAAACCCATTTGATGCCAAAAATTGAATAGTTGAGTAATACCATAATTTTGAGTATATAATAAAAATAGTCCGTAGAAATTGCGGTTTACCGCTATTGCACTTCATTAGATAAAATATAATCATAATAAGTGTTAATAGAGTGAACGTGCACGAAAGCATTTATTCTGTGTAATGAACCGTAACAAAAAGTATTGTCATTGAATCAATACATGAAAACTGTAACTAATTGATAATATATTAAATTCAATTATATATATATACATAGGATTTTGTCGCCATCTCAAACGTATGCATAAATTGGACAACATTAGGTGGGATGTGTCTGCGCCATTACGCCCACTTAAACTCGTTCACATTGTTTTTCTATTCAGTTCAGTTTTTCGTCTTTATGCATTTTAATTAACTCATTCTCTTCTCTTCCCAAATATAGTTTGCGCTTGATTTTTCCTCATATATAGCAAAACAGAGGATTAGAGGTATAAAATAAACAAAAGAAAGAGAGAAATATTATTAAATTAATTTGCAGATTTAGTTTGTCTTAGAACCAATTAAGCCAATCAACATTAATCTTAAATTCTTATAATGACATGTGACTGTGACTGCTATGTTATTGTTGTTGCTAGGTAATGTGTTGGCTTCAGTTTGTTTTGTTTTTTCTCTTTTTTTTTTTTTTTTTTTATTTTTTTAATTCAAAAGTATTACAAATAATTTATTAAGAAATTTTATTTGTTTGCTTGCAACTTATTATTTTTCAATTAATAAACATCACACCAACACTTAGCATTATAGAGACGTCAAATAATCGGTAGGTAGACAGACAAATAGTTTATTGTTTATGACACTTTACGATTGTAATTTGATTTCTGAAACGTTAATCATCGGGCAGGTGTGCCCATGTCCGGTACGTATCGGCAATTTATCGCCTTCTGCTCTAGTTTAGTGCTCGCTAGGACGCTTATCGTGTTAGGCCATCGCAGTTAAATAATTCAGATTTCTCAACTTTCATAAAGAATTTCAATTCTCTTCCGCTTTTCCAATCACAAATTTTTAAGTATTTTCTTTATTATAAGATGGAAAAACTAGAGCTGGGACTTCTCCGAAGGGACTCTTTCATGTTGGGGAGGAAATTAATTTTCCGGTGTTTTTTTTTTCAGATTAATGAAAAGTTGTAATGAAAGTTGTAGAAGAGAAATGTCGGGAACGGTTTATTGAAAGTTTTGTCCACCAGTAGTCAGTACGTCTTCCATGTTTTTGGCGGAAGATGAATTCCTCGCTGGAAAGACACCTGGTTACGTGGAGGCCGCGCACTACGAAATCCATTTTCTGGATAGAAGTTCTTCAATATATCATCGCTTATAACATGTGTTAATCACGAGGAGCAATGTCTACTAATAAGAACGGCTGAATGAAGCTCAACTTCGCCACATAGAAAAACTGCGATAACATGGCCTTGCGACCATCTTTGTTGTAATTACTTTGGTTATTGTTGTTAGCGTTTCTAATAGTGGTATTATTTGGTATATACCTACCTACCCACCTGATTCCAACCAAATGGACTCGCTTTGCATACTCTAATCAATCGTTTGCCTAATCTGGACTATGGTTCTTCGATATCTCAGTGCATCCAATGTTCATAATCGGTAACTATTCAAAAGCATTATCCTTCGAATTAAGCAAAAAGAGTCACTCTGTACGCAAACGTGGATTTTCGACTATGTTTGTTCAAAATTCAGCTTTGTTGCTTTATGTGTTTGCATTAGGGTCCATTATTGTTACCACATACTCAAGTTATGTACGTCCATTGCACGTGAAGTTAGGGCCAAACTGCTATAATAAGCCAGAATAGATATAAAAATTTAGCATTTCTAAAAATTCATAAGGGTAGTACGATATCCATTATCCCGTCCTGCCTCATTACGACTTAACTGGACGTTCCACTATAGCGGGATGCGGCGGGATGCGGCGGGATGCGTAACCTTAACTTTCTTCTCGGAACGTCTATCGACATTTATGTTATATGTACTTCTTAACGTGTTAAATATTCTTATTACATTCCGATACCCTTTTCCCATATGCAGTCTAAGGTAAGGTAATGTACTAGAAGGCTAAAGCAATCTGATAATAGTTGCGTTAGTTTTTGGAGCATTGAATATGTCGATTCAGTCTTTACCCTTTGCAACTTTATAGTTTTCAAAGGCATCTCAAGTAAATATTGCTTGATTATTGAAGTGATGCGACTTAATTTTGCTTCTTCGTTTAGATTACATAGGCTATTCCAAAGAATATTAAACTATGGGCTCCCCGGAATGAGCCAAAAGGACTTGCAATTAGTCTCTTTAATAGAACGCAACGTCGTCAGCAGGAACATGTTGTGAAACTAAACAGAAATTTTCGGAGCAGCTATGTTCATCTCATTAGAACTGCAGGATGCTGCACGTATTTTATGTAAAAATTTACTTTCTATATAATATTTTATGTTTTATATATTTGTCAAATGTTTTCCTAAAGGCGCGCATCTATCACTTGTTGGCTTATGATTCCATTAACCCATTGAAAATAATTCATTCCTTCTAGATTTTTGTTGTCCTTTCAATTTGTCAAAATATACTATAGTTGCTTGGTAATTCCGGCTTGACTAACGCTCACCAGTAATAGGAGATAATTGAAGTTTTTTTTTTTAATGTTTCGTATTACGTGTGCGAGTATGTGGCATATATGCATTGCGTTAGCTTTCATGATGATTCCAATCTATCCGAGACTGTAAGAGAAATAACGAAAATAGAGACAGAAAATTGTGATTTCAAGCAATGTTGTTACGTCTAGCGGCTTATTGTAAGTGAGGGGCACATTTAATAGGAAATTCTCTATATAATTTTGCCTCTAAACGCTGAAATGGATGTTATTGTTATTATTATTATATAAGTCTTTAATCATTGCAAGGCAACCAACTCGTGGATATTCGAATTCGACTCAATTTAATATCACTTTTATATATAATATCCAGCAAAAGGGGCTACATTAGGTTCAATTAATATATACGCCAATCTCTGGATATACGCGGTAGGGTAGATATATGTGTCATAAAATCGTGTAAATCGAAAATAAAAACTTTTGTATATAAAACCGTGTAAATTGAAAACGAAAAATAGGGGATTTTTTAAAATCATTTAGTGAATAGGAAAATAAGAGTAACAAGTTTAATGAAATTTAAAAATAACGGTTTAATCATAAAAACAGAAACTAAAAATTTAAGTAAATTATAAAATGAAAAATATAAGGTAAACAAATTAATTTCATAGATGTGGGATAAGAATACTTTTAATTAAAAAAAAAAAAAAAAAAAATACAAAAAAGCATTTGTTTGTTTGTTTGTTTTTTTTTTTTTTTTTTAACGACATGGAACATATCATAAATATTAAATTAAATAGAAATAAGGGCATATGAAACTAAAAATAATCTTTTGATTTTTTTCTTATTTAAGAGCTTCAAGCTAAATCCTAACTCCCGTAAATGCGTGGGTGCGGTCGGATTATGGGTAAGAAGGGGGGAAAGAAGTAAGCTTTAGTTCGACAATTAACTAAATTAGATAATGAGTCCGCCAAAAATCGGATAATCGATCTGTGATCAGCGTACGATCCTGAAACAATTTAAGTATGTATCTCGTTGGTCCGTCCGTCTGTCTGTTAACCAGAGCCAGTACATTATGTAATAATACAATGAAGAATATATCTCGTGATCTGACAAATTGGCTGTGTTTGCCTGTCATCAGTGCTGTGTTGCGAAGCCAAGCCAAGAAAAACTATAATTGATAAGAAATATTGATCTAGGATATTTTTGAGAAGGGGTTAAAAGTCTGGTACAAGAGCCCTTTCATGTGGCTGACACATGCAATGAATTATGATGCAATGACCATCCAGTGCTTTGAGGCGCTGGGGGCATGCGATGCTCGATTTAAGATCACTAAAGCTTTCTTACTTGCGTTTAATTTTCTCTTATTTTATATTGACTTTTGCAATTAATAACTTGTTAATTATATGTTATCATTAAATCGCTTAAGACTCCCCAACAACAACGTGCAAATAGTGAATTATCTTAATCAATTCTTTGTGTCTATTATTTATTCCCTTTTACTTACACCGCTGGCAGATAGTTCACACACACACACACAAGTTAAATTCTTATTTAATAAGTTTTCTGTCTGTCCGCGACAATAGATTTATCAATTGTATAATTGATGTTGCTTTTTGTTCGCGCATGTATGCATGTAAGCTATGTAAGCGACATAAGCCATATAAGCCAAGTTAACACATTTAAGGGAATCTAGGTGAAGTGAAAATGAAAAGTTGATAATTATTGTCTTATTGTTATTATAATATAATGATTATCTATAAGAAATAAATTGTCTGTCTAATTAATCTACACATCTGCACATTTATTGTCGCAACAATAACGGCGGCGGGTGTAGTGCGATACGCCATACATTGGCTCCTATATGCATCTGACGTCAGCTGAGAGATGCCAAACCTACTTTGCATTCTAAATCAATAAAAATTACAACAACAACAACAACAACAACAACAATAATAATAATAATAATAATAATAATAATAATAACAAAAGCAACAACAACGTCAAAGTTACCGTAACGTATTATTCTGTATAGGTATTGAAATACTTGCATAGACAGACGGAACCAACACTTTCAATTTCATTTGAATGGTTATTGTGGTCTGATCGGTTTTGTGTACTTTGTGCACTTGTTCGCTTGTCATGTGCGACAAATATTACAGAAAAGGGCTGATTAGTTTGTTCTTGTTGTTTGTATCGCTGTTGTTCATGTCGTTGCTATTGTTTTTTATTACTATTATTATTATTATTATTATTATTTTCATAATTATCGCTATTGGGTAAGGGCATGATGTAAAAAGGGCTTCTATTTATACCTAAGAGGTAAACGTGTGCTTAAAACTGGTCATGATTCGTCTGCTGACACAAATTCTAAGTCTCGTGCTTTTCCCGATAATTTCTCAAGTATTGCGAAATTTCCGCTTAACAATTTTAATTAATATATTGTTACTATTATCTAATCACGGTTTCTATAAATGACTCTTTGTGTGTATATGTGTAAGCAGATGAATAAATTATCGTCATATTTGTATATATATATGTGTGTGTGTGCGTTTGTGTTTGTAAATGGCGTTTGTGAATTAGTAACAACAATAATAATAATAATAATAAGTAGCAATAAAATGTTGTATAGCGTTGTATAAGCAAAAAGAAAAAGATATATATACATCTATATATATATATAAAGATATATATCTTTAATGGCATAAAATTATTAATTTATTATTTATAGCATTCGAAAAGCGAAATAAATTGTGCGAATCGCTTATAGATACTGATTGGACGTGAGCATGCATTGTTAGGAAGTGTTGCTCTTGCTGTTGCCTTTGTTTACTAAATATTCCTTCTATTATGTTCACATTTAACCTTTTCTTTAAAGTTTCGCGTAAATTGACATTAAAGGAAAAATAAATATTCTCTTAGATAACGTGTAAATCTTTCAAAAGACCTTTACATTGTTATATAACGCATTCGAAATGAATTCAATTTGGATAAATATTAAGACATTATTCATTTGCTAGCAATTGGATTAAAACTT